TTACGCTCAACGTACACGCAGATAGCATCAGTCAATGCGTTCGCTACTTTATTTTTCAGTATTTGTTGCCTGATACGTTTCCTCGCAAACATAATTCTACACATCATCAATGATATGAGGTGTGGTCCATCGAATTATCGAGTGGAACAATCCGATCGGGAAATATTGTCAACTGTACAGGTCGAGGTGCATAATCAGAATTTCTTTCGAATAGCGCATAGAAATTATCTATCATCGTTTCCGTCAACCATTCTTCGGAAGATAAAATGTTCTTCATATTACTATAACAGAACTTGTGACACTGACGATCTATTTTCAGTTGGCATTTGATTCCTCTTTTCAATATAGAATTATTACTTAACGTAGACCTGCGGCAAACGTACTTGTTTTCCCACTACATTTCCTGCAACCTTCGGAAGATTTAATAGTCATCCATCTCACGTTAAAAAGTTATTAAAGATGAAATATGGAATTCAACACTGATGACGCTGACTGTGACATATAGGGTGCGTTCTTTTAGGCATCAGATTTGGCAGCAGCTGCGCATCGGATCTGCCGGCTGCACAGCTGATTTAAAAGAACGTTATTCTGCGTTCATGTTCTCAAAACGCGCGATTTTTTTTAAATTAAAGAAAAATCGTACAAAAAAGATGTACCAGTCAAATGGATACCATAATTGATACTCTACGTATCGTTTTACCGATTGTAATTGAGGATTTAGTCAGGACGGATAGTGATTCTAGTAATTCTGACAGTTCAGATGAAGAGGTTAAGTACGCAATTTATACATAATTTTATTACACGTCGTATGTTCTATAATAAATTATTAAATGAATGTTCTATAATAAATTATTAGGATCACATTACTATTTAATTATAATGTATTAAATTGAATCCGATTAAGTATTTCTAATATTGTATAAGATAACTATCTGGTTTTTTACACGTCGTATGTTATTAATTGAATTACAATTATACATATTGTCTAATAGAAATTGGAACTTTTGTGTGGACATATTTTGAGAAAATTTGCTTACCTATTGATTGTGGTTCACGTATCAAGATCTGTCAGACAATGTGACTCGTATGGAACATTTTGCGTTTAAATGGAAAAAAATCACATCTATCATTGAATTGGAATAAAACATCTGCTAGTAACGTATTAACGGATATTTTTAATATCTTAAAGTATTTATAAGGGTAAGACTCTAATTTTAAGACCTAAATTATACTGTATTATATTCGTATCACGTTTAATTAAGTTAATACCAAAGAAGGTCTGATTCAAGACCGAAACGTTTATTTATTGTACTATATCAAATATAATATTGTTAAGCCATCCATATAAGGCGTTCGTGGTTATATGCCTTTTTAATTACAGTGTTTCACAATTTTATTGTTTTTATTTATCATATTAAATATAAATTTAATAATATGAAATATATTTATATAGGAGAGGAAGCAGATCGTAAAGATGAAGCATTACATGCAAGTTATTGCTAGAATGGCTCCCGATATTTTCAAAAGCCACTTTCGACTCTCTCGGACATCTTTCGAGGTATTTTACTATAGTACAAAATTACATGTGAATCAAATATTGTTAGAAACATTTTTATTAATCGAAATAGCTTTTTATTTTACATTCGGTGTATTATATATATTTTTAGATTGTGAGACATGATATATTACATCATTATAAAGCAAGGAAAGTTCGACTTGGTAGTCATGGTATATTCATTGAGAAATCACTGCTATTGACATTATGGACTTTGGCGAATCAAGAATCATTTCGTGGGATAGGTGTTCGCTTCGATATCACTCGAAGCAATGCACATAGACATTTTTTGGATATGTGCAAATGTTTACTCAATCTTGCAAATGAATATCTGCACTGGCCATCAGAAGCAGAATTTAGGAATATCAAACAGAAATTTACAACTTTGAGGGTAGGACATAGTTTCCCGAATGTTGTCGATGCAGTTGACCATATGCACATTCCAATACCTGCACATATGGAAGATTCAGCCAGTTATTACAATATAAAAAGATTTTAATTCATAATTTTACAAGGTATCTGTGATGTCGAATGTAAATTCATCGATGTATTTGTTGGATAG